CAACTAAACGTAGCGACGGCGAAATTTCAATTCCACTCAGGTCTAGTGAACTGTTGGGAAGCCAGAAAGTTGGAGCGAAAAAGAAGGAAATCAGTCCTACCTCTACTTACGTGACTAAAACGATCTAATGAGCAACACTCAATACAGCTTAGTTTAGAGGCCTTTCCCAGCCAACCATTTTTCTCTTGCCTTCAAGACGCCTTCAACATTGTGTGCATGTAATGACTTTTAATTTTGCTATTTCTGCTGCTTTGCCATTCGGATTTTGCGTAACTCTTGTTCATTTGACGAATGCCCACGAAAGATAAACCAATTTTCTCGAAGATATGAAGATCAAGATTGTGTAGCCCTCGGTATGGTCGCAGTCTCATTTGGATGTGTGGGAGTGGGTTGACCTCGTTTTCACAACCTGGTTTTGTTGTCAGGGCGACTTAATTGGACGCATCTTGTCCGAAGTCCTCTGCCATAATAGTCGTCATAATTCCCAGCGTCAGACCGCAGACTTGGTACATTCCCAGGCCACAATGCCGGTGAAACGTCTGAGAATGTGCCAAGTGACGCTGGGAATCATGACAGCTACTATGGCAGAGGTCTTCGGACAAGTTGTGTTCAACTAAGTCATCTTGACAACAGGATCAAGTTGCGAAGACTGATTTTTCTCTCATTACACTTAATCACAAATATTAACACCTTTTTATTCTGCTCCTTTTCTTGGCCAATTGGATATCATAAGCTCTATATCTTTTTTCTCATCATTTATGGGACAGCTACTAAAACCGACTGAGGTAAATCGTCTAAATGATCTACTGGATTGCTCCGAGGCTGAACCAAGTGGACTGTTGGATGAGAGAAACGAGAGCGAAGAAGATGCTGACATTTCGAGGGACTTGGAGATGGATGACTTATTCCCGGTAGGGACTGCATCAGACCTCACCGAACAAGTAGAGCTGGACTCGACAACAACACGCTCCAAATGGTCGGAATATCAGGACAGGTTAACGCAGTTAAGGGTGAATCGGTCAGCTGGGTTGCGTCAATTGCATAGTCTTTTGGCTACCGGAACGTTGGCACCAAACAAGCTGCTGCATCATCACTTGGCTGGGGCCTGCTTAGCTGCGACAAATGAGAACTGCTGGAACGGACTTCACCAAACAAACAAGTAAACGTCTCGAAACCTCCACGTTGATGGGACCCTGGGCCGAGTATGATTGTGTGATTCGTATTTAGGCGGCATTTGCAAGTTTGCATCTTGTAGACATCTTCACTTGAGTTATAGCTTAAAGATAGATGCTATAAATGTCTCTTGACTTTGGCAAAGGTATTTCTTCGTACGCTTACTAACAGTAAATTTAAAGGACCTATCTTTAACACAGCTTTTACTGCACATAAAAAGATTTAATGAATATGATTGATTATCTAATTTTTTAATTTGATATTTGCCGGAAAAATGATTAAGAGGCCGATTAAAATTAGGTCCCA